TCTAAGTTGAAGCCAACTCTACAAAATGGTACCTAAAGCTACTCGAAAGCTTCTTATATAAGAAAGTTATTGAAGATGAAACGTTCGGTACATTTTTTGGGACACTCGGTATAACGTGTGGCATTCTGTATCCTCGAAGTGATCATCCTTTACCGTTGTTAACCCTGTTATCTACTATTACTGTTGGGTAATGGTATGATCATCCTTTGAGTTTCATTTTTCAGTAAGGAATTTTGCTGAGTAGGACAATTTACATCAGGAATTTTCATCATCATTTTTTTACCAAAAAAAAGATGCAAATTCAGCGTACTCGGCAAGATCGCTTTTTATCATCCAACAGCGATAGCACTTGTAATAACGATAGCAACGGTAAATTATGCGAAACTTATAACTTGACGTCAACATGGCATGCTTATACAAGCATTTACAAGCACGTCGTTGCAGGTCCCGTACCGCTTCACAGTGTCAATCCACCAATCGCAGTTCCACCACCGCTATTCCCCACCATTCCACCACCCTGCACCACGACAGCGCCACATCACGATGGACATTCTGTACATGTTGTGCAACCGAGTCGAGCTCAACAGCAGCCGCAGACTTCTCAGCCGCCACCCCAACAACATTCACATAATTCTTCGCATCCGGCGCCATCTTTCTCTAGAGATCGTGTGCATGTAGAGAAGTCACCACGAATGTCTGGGACCCCACCGGGTGGCCAGTCACATCAGCGGCATGGAAATGCGCAAGCGTCTCAGCAGCAGAACACTCCAACGCAGGTGAAAACTGAACCAGCGGAGGCGACAACTGTGAAGAAAGAGCCAAAGGATAAAGTTGAAGAAACGACGGAGAGGATAACACCGAATAGGAATCGTCAAAGCACGGATACGCCTGCACGAGCAGGTCCTGTAAAGAGAGAACGCGCAAGTAGCGAGCATGCTGAGGATGTGTCACCATCTCCATTGACGGAAGAGGAAGATAAGAAGCCGCCGGCTAAAAAGGTGGGTTTTGGATTTGTGTCTTCGGTTTTTCTGTTTCTGCTGAGTATATTTATTCAGACGAAGGAAGAGGATGCAGCCACATCGTGGCGAACATTCTATAATGCCGATCTTGCTCGACAAAAGGAGGCTGAGCTCAATCTGGACATCGATCCTGAAATGGTTAGCCTCCAATCCGGTTTTTCATTTTGTTTTCGTATTGAAATTCAACTTTTTTTTCTAAGTTTTCAATGCCTTTTTTGACTATTTTGATTTTCCCTTTTTTAGCGTGACCTGGTGGCACAATCTCTTACGTTGGAGAACAAATTAGTGGCTGAGGTAAGCTTCACCTATGAACCAGATTTCGCAGAATTTTCAATTTTTCGTTGTTTAGCTCATCAAAATGAAGACAGCTGCAGCACTTGTTGCTGTGCAAGAGAATGAAGTTTGCATATGTAACGCGAAAATTCAAAGTTTAAGAGTGAGTTATTTTATCTTTTTCCTCCCAATGTTGGGTTGATCTGTTTTTTTACAGGAAATGAGAAATGATCTTGAGAACCGACAATCCCGTCTGATGGCCCCAGCTGTTGTCACAATGCCAGACCTGAACTCGCGGGCTTGATTGAAATCTAATCGGTTATAGTTAGGACCTTCCTATTGGTTTTGCTTGGACATAAGTTATTCTATACTTAACGGGTATGCATGACCATACTATAGTTATCAAATGTTTGAGCAATTTTGACTTGTATGAGGTATATGTGTGACTATTCATTTACATTTTGACTTTGTCCATTTACTGGTTTTAGGGAATGAAATC